TCCTATCCCATAAGGGTGTCTCCAACACAGCAGTTCTCCCATTGTAGACACAACTGGTCCTCAGAGCTAATTGGTCTGGAGGTCAATTCCGCCCAGTGATACCAACAGTAATCAAGACAACTATAGCCAAAACCGGTGGCTCAGTGGATAGAGCATCGGCCTGTGGACTGAAAGATCCCAGGTTGGATTCTGGTCAAGGGCATGTACCTTGAGTGGGGACACATCCCCAGTAGGGGGTGTGCAAGAGGCAGCTAATCAATGATTATCTCTCATCAATGATTCTAACTCTATCCCTCTCTCTTCCTCTCTGTAAAAAATCAATAAAATATATATTTTTTTAGAAAGACTTAACTACAACAAGACTGTGCACACAACCCACAAAGTGGTACACCAAGAGTATCCACCTCAGGTGACTGGGGAAGCTGAGACACTAGGCCCTATAGGACACATAGCACACAAAGCCACCCCATCAACACAGAGAAGCAGCCAAAATATAGAGACAAAAAAACATGTCACAAATGAAAGAAATGGAGGAAATCAAACTACAGGATATAGAGTTCAAAACCAGTTATAAGGTTACTCAAGGATCTTCTAGAAACCTCCAAGAAATTTAGTGAAATCCTCAAGGATATGAAAAAGGACCAATTAGAAACTAAGCATACACTGACTGAAATAAAGAATAAGAGATCCAACAGTAGACTAGAGAATCCCAAGAATCAAGTCAAAGATTTGAAATACAAAGAAGCAAAACACACTCAACCAGGAAAGCAAAAAAGAAAATTAATCCAAAAAATATGAAGATAATGTAAGGAGCTACTGGGACAACTTCAAGTGTACCAACATCTGAATTATAAGAGTACAAGAAAAAGAGAAAGAGCAAGATATTTAAACCCTATTTGGTGAAATAATGACAGAAAACTTCCCCCACCTGGTGAAAGAAATAGACTTACAAGCCCAAGAAGCACAGAGAACCCCAAAAAGAGGAAACCAAAGAGGACTACACCAAGACACATCATAATTAAAATGCAAACAGCAAAAGACAAAGAGAGAATATTAAAAGCAGCAAGAGAAAAACAGATAGTTACTTATAAGGGAATACCCATAAGATTGTCAGCTGATTTCTTAACAGAAACTATGAAGGCCAGAAGGGAGTGGCAAGAAATTCAAAGTGATGAATAGCAAGAACCTACAACCAAGATTACTCTACCCAGCAAATCTATCATTTAGAATTGAAGGTCTGATAAAGAGCTTCCCAGACAAGAAAAAGCTAAAGGAGTTCATTACTGCCAAACCAGTATTACATGAAATGCTGAAAAGTATTTAAGAAGAGGAAGAAGAAATAGGTAAAGATAAAAATTATGAACAACGAAGTGACAACAAATACATACTTATCAACAAGTGAATCTAAAAATCAAGTGAAAAAAAATCTGACAAAGAGAATAAATTAGTGAATATAATAGAATCAGGGGCATACCGTGTTTCCCCGAAAATAAGACATCCTCCGAAAATAAGACCTACTTACAGGTTTCCTTCTGAGTGAAATATAATATAAGGCATCACCCGAAAATAAGGCCCCCCTAGGCTAAACATGAGAGATTTGGTCCACTGATTCTGAAAGAAATGGAGTCACAAGAAATTCACCAGGAAATTCAGGAATTGGATTGTTATGATGATGTTCCAGAAGATGATGACATGATTGACATTAAATAAATGAGTAAATTCTTGATACTGTACGATTCAGTTTGTCTGGTTCGTGTTGACAACTACCGTACTACCGTACCGTATACAGGTAACAAATTTCCTTTATTTTCATTTAACAATAAATGTATACCGTATTCTTCTTCATGGGAAAATAAGACATCCCCTGAAAATAAAACCTAGTGCATATTTGGGAGGAAAAATTAATATAAGACACTGTCTTATTTTCAGGGAAACAGGGTAGAAAGGGAGTGGACTGATAATTCTTGGGGGGGAAGAGGGTGTGGAGGGTGCAGGGAGAGACTGGAAAAAAATCGTACACCTAAGGATGAGGACAATGGGGGAAGAAGGGCATTGGGAGTGTGGGAACTGGGTGTAGGCGAGGTATGAGGAGAAAAAAAGAGCAACAACTGTAATAATCTGAAGTATAAGGACTTATTTTTTTAAAAGTGAAAAAATTGATTAAAAAAAAGAGTGGTTGAATAAACTATGATAAATCTATATACTGAAATATTTATTATGCAACTATATAAACAAAAGCTATAAATATCTCTTTGAATTGTGGAGTAATATCCAGTATACATTATATCATTAAGTGAAATAAGCAATGTTCAAAACAGTATGGTATTTTTTTTCTATTTTATTTTTCTTTATTTTTATTGTTACCCCCATTCCTTCTTTTCTCCCCTAGTCCCTCCTCCATCCAGCCCCTGCTCCTCCTTCCCTCTGGCCATCACTGTAGTCTGTGTCTATAAGTTAACACATATACTATATGTTCTTTGGCTAATCCCTTCACCTTCTTTCATCTCTCCCTCTCCCCTCTGACAGCTATCAGTCTGTTCCAGGTATTCATGCCACTGTTTCTGTTTTATTCCTCAGTTTATTTTGTTCATTAGATTCCACATATAAGTGAGATCATATGGTATTTGTCTTTCTCTGACTGGCTTATTTCACTTATCATAATAATCTTCAGGTTGATTGCAAAAAAGAGTTCATTTGAAAGAATACATGTCCCTATTCATTTGTGCAAAATAAAAAGCATAAGGACAAAGCAGAAACTAATGAGATTGATTTATTATAGGGAGTAGACAAGAACCACATTTCTTCATACTCAAAATACTGTGACATGCAACAATCAACCAGGATGTGGGGGAACTCAAAGGGTACACACAAAAAGCTAAACATATAAAAAATGAGTAAAAAAAAACTGCACTGAAGAAGAAGGAAAAGAATAAAATTGGAAACAGTTTTTCATCATATAAGGTTAAAGAAAAATTTCACAGAAATACTTTATTGTAGTTAGTAAATTTGTTGTTTTTAAAAATATATATTTTGCCGAGACCGGTTTGGCTCAGTGGTAGAGCGTCGGTCTGTGGACTGAAGGGTCCCAGGTTCGATTCTGGGCAGGGGCATGTACATTGGTTGCGACCACGTCCCCGATGGAGGGTGTGCAAGAGGCAGCTGGTCATTGTTTCTCTCTCATTGACGCTTCTATCTCTCTCCCTTCCTCTCTGTAAAAAAATCAATAATATATATATATATATATATATATATATATATATATATATATATATTATTGATTTCACAGAAGAAGGGAAGGGAAGATAGAAACATCAATGATGAAAGATAATTATTGATCGCCTGCTTCCTACATGCTCCCTACTGGAGGTTAATCCTACAACTAATCCTGCTCTGGAATAGAACCATGACTTCCAATTTCATAAGTTGATGTCAACCACATAGCCACATAGGCCGGGGTAAATTTGTGGTTTTTCTAATATGGATGAATCTCAGGCATAATGTGGAACAAAAGAAACCAGGCATAAAAAAAGTACATGCTATATAATTCTATTTAAATATGAAGTTCAAGAATCCGTAAAACTAACTAATGGGGATAAGTTTCTGATTAGTGATTCTGGGAGAAAAATAACTGGGAAGAAGTTTGAAGGAAACTTTTTGGCAAGAAATTGTTATATAGCTGTATACTTAACTTTATGCATTTACTATATATAATATACACCATATCTCATAAAAATGTTTTAAAAACTTCCAGACCGGGGGGGGGGGGGGGGGGGGGTGTGAATGGGTTAATGGGGGGAAAGGAGAAAATATGTAAATCTTTCAACAATATTTTTTTTTTAAAGAAAATAGGACTATGTAAAAAAAATATGTTTTGGTAGGGATATAGAACAATGAAATGCTTCAAACATTGCTGTGCAAATATAAATTTGAGCACCCACTTTGATAAATATTGGCATTATTTAGTAAAGTGGAAGATATCATACAACCCAGTAATTCCATTGGTATATAAACTCATGCACTTTTACATACCTTATGCACAGCATTGCTTATAAAGTAAAACAGACTAGAAATAACTCAAATCCATCAATACTAAAAAGGATAAGAAATAGTCCAGCTGGTGTGGCTCGGTGGTTGAGCATCAACCTATGAACCTAGAGATCACAGGTTCCTTGTCAGGCACATGCTGGAGTTTCAGGCTCAATTGGAGGGAGGGGGGGTGCAAAAAGGGAGGTAGGAGGCAGCCAATCAATGTTTCTCTCTCATCAATGTTTCTATCTTTATCCCTCTCCCTTCCTCTCTAAAATCAATAAATGCGTATTTTTTAAAGGAATCACTATTATATCTAATATGGAAAATTCTCAAAAACATAGTTGTACAAATAAGAAAAGAAGAAAAAAAAGGAGAGCGTTCATATAAAATTTAAAAACCAGGACAACTACAGTATAGTGCTAAGAGAGGTATAAATAAATGAAAAAAAAAAAAAAAAACCTCATACATTTATCCAGTCTCGCAAATCGCATAACCACTATGGTAGCATAAAGCTAGAAGTAACCCACAATCAAAGCAACAGGGCCGCCCACCCAAGGCTTCAGGCAGTCACAAGCACTGTCTACCTGTACTTGGTTGCAGAGTCACAATCACACTAAACACAGATAAAACCACAAAGCATTCACAGGGACTCTCACATGCACGGGGTCACACAATCACACACCCCGACGGGGACAAACGCTATCACATCCCCTGAGCCATACACCTGCCCATACAAAGCTGCACGTGGCTCCAACCACACACACACAGACACGCACGCACGCACGCACGCACGCACGCACGGGGTACCGTCCCATCACACCAGCAGTCACAGGCTCCCCGACTGCGCTGCACACGGTTGTAGCAAGTCACACCCACACGGTCAGTCTCCAGGTAGAGGAAATCCCACCATTTAAATCTGACCACCCGGGTACAAAGCCGAGGCTCCGGCCCGCCCTCCCCAGCGTCCTCACCTCAGGCCCTCGGAGCTCCGGGAGCAGCAGAGCCCCTCCGCAGAACTGCAGCAGCTGCCGGTGTAGACCCGCGGGCCCCGCCAGCGCGCGACTTAGAGGCTGAATTAACGCGAGAATCCCGTTACGCTGAGGAGTCCTCTGGGCAATGCAGTCAGAGACCTACCTGGGGCGGGCAAGATGGCTCCAGAACGTCAGGATTTCTGTCCAAGCCTAACTGCGACCCAGCCAAACGACTGCGGTCCTCACCCAACGGCGCGCCGGAGGCTTCGGGGAGCCGATATCCTAACGGCCGTGGCTCCTGAAAAAGGCCACTCCGACACGTTCAATGGGCTTCGTTCCCTTATCTGCCATACCATCCAGTAGTGGGAAAGGCTCAGGAAGAGAAACTAGTTTCCAAGGAAAGATAAGAGGCACCGCGGCCCTTCTGGGAAATGGAGCTGGGGCTGGAAACGCGGTGGCTGCACCGTTTGAAATTCACCCTGATTCTTCTCAGCCTGCTCAAGCTACGGCCCCGGACATTTCTGGGAGTGCCGCTGCGCCCCAGGAGTGCACAGGTTTCCTTGAGTCGCTGTTTTGGTCTTTGTTCCGAAGTAACTTTGGTTTGGGTTTCTTCCGTGCAGAGGAGCTGTGGGATCTAAGTTTCTGAGTCCCAGAGCCCCACCGGGGACGCTGAAGGAGAGGCAGACTAAGAACCTGCAAAAGTATTGGGGAGGCTGGTAAGGAGGGATTGCTAAACGTGAAACGGATGAGGAAAGCCAAAGAGGAGGAGTTTCTGAAATTGCGAAAGAGGCTGGCATTCTGAGCTAACTTGTATTAAAAGTCTTGGCCTGAGGAGAATAGGCAGGGGTGAGGCAGGCTTTGCTAGGGGGGTGGAGAGAGAGAGAGAGAGAGAGAGAGAGAGAGAGAGAGAGAGAGAGAGAGGGAGGGAGGGAGGGAGGGAGGGAGGGAGGGAGGGAGGGAGGGAGGGAGGGAGGGAGGGAGGGAGGGAGGGACTTGGGTGTGTCATAGAGAGGGAGAAACTAGATTCAGAATTTTGTGTGGGTGTGTGTAATTGAAAGTTTAAATAAGTATCACTGTATATATCACAGTGATTGTATTTTTTAATTTGATGGGAGAAAGGTTATATAATTGAATAAATTATTTTAATATTTATAGATTTTAGATAGAAACATCAAGACAGAACCATTGATTGGCTGCCTCCTGCACGCCCCCTACCTGCAGATACAGGCACCACTTGGTCTTGTGCCCTGAGAGGAATGCGGCCATGACCTCCGGGTTCATAGGTCTGTGCTCAACCACTGAGAACAGGGGGAGGGGGTGGAAATAAATTGTTTAAAGCATGTAAAACCTGAAGCACCTGTATAGAACAGAAATAAAAACTGTTGTTTTCTTTAAAAAGAAAGCCAGAGGCTGGATGGAGGAGGCAAAGGAGAGGAAAATGGGAACATCTGCAAATAACAATAAAAATAAAGATAAATCCTGCCCTAACCAGTTTGGTTCAGTGAATAGAGTGTCAGCTTGTGGACTGAAAGGTCCCAGATTCAATCCCAGTCAAAGGCTGTACCTTGGTTGAGGGCACATCCCCAGTAGGTGGTGGGCAGGAGGCAGCTGATTCATATTTCTCATCAATGTTTCTAACTATCCCCCTCCCTTCCTCTCTTAAAAATGCAATAAAATACATTTTAAAAAATAAAGACAAATCCTAGCTAATAAAAGAGTAATATGCAAATTGGCTGTACCTCTGCTACAACCACAAGCCACGCCCACCAGCCAATCAGGAGCCAATATACAAATTAACTCAACCAAGATGGCAGCGGCCATGGAGAGAGCAGGAGGCTAGGGTTGCCCCTGGCAATGGAGGAATCCAAGCTTTCCTCCTGTCCTGGGGGGCCCAGCATCCGCTCAAGACTACAAAGTTTCAATTATAGGAGATAAATAAATCCCAACAAAAATGGCTGCAGCCATGGAGAGAGCAGGAGGCTTGGCTCCATTCAGAGCTACAAAGTTTCAATTAGAAGATAAATAAATCCCAGATATCAGGGCCTCTGCTTGGGTCACTGGGGTACATGGCCAGCCTGAAAACCACCAGAGGCCCCTCACCCAGGCCACCCCATGCCCCGAGGGAACCCCTACCCTTATCCAGGACACCCTTCAGGGCAAACCAGCTGCACCAGGCCTCTATATTATTTAATCCTATCTAATAAAAGGATAATATGCAAATTGACTATCACTTCAACACAAGGTGGCTGCCCCCATGTGGTCAAATATCCTGCCCCCATGTGAACACAAGATGGTCAGCAGGGGAGGGCAGTTGGGAGGGACCAGGACTGCAGGGGAAGGCAGTTATGGGCAAACAGGCTGCAGTAGAGTGTTTAGGGGTGATCAGGCTGGCAGGCAGAAGTTGTTAGGGGCAATCAGGAAGGCAGACAAGCAAGCAGTTGGGAGCCAGCAGTCCTGGATTGTGAGAGGGATGTCCAACTGCCCGTTAAGGCCCAATCCTAACTGGATAGCGCCTAAACGGGCAGTCGGACATCCTTCGAGGGGTCCCAGATTTGAGAGGGTGCAAACTGGGCTAAGAAACACACCCCTCCCCATATAAATTTCGTGCACCTGGCCTCTAGTAAAATAATAAAACATAAAGCCAATTCCAAGGAATTTACTTAGACTTCAGACTGGAGACATAGCCTTTCAATCTTATGGGTTCTTTTCGAGTTCTGTTGAAAGGGGTAAGTTTAAGTGATATAAGCCTACGGTCTAAGGGAACAAACAAATTTGTGAAGTCCTGGACTAAGAAACAACTTTAAAGTTTGAAGGATAGTGTCAACCACTGCATAGAAAAGAAGTGAATTAAGCAGTGTTATTCCCATCCTTAGACGAAAAAAACATGGCCTACAGAGATCAAGGAATGTAAGTTTGAGTTCCTTAAGGAGACTCTTCCAATTACCTCCAGGCCAGATGAATTTTGATAGGTATAAAAATAACTTTTCTAACTGCAAAGATGCTGTCTCCAAATATTGAGGTATTTTACTGTAGTTACTTTTAACCTATTTTTAAAATTTATTTTAGAGAGAGGGAGAAAGAGAAATGTTGGTTTGTTGTTCTACTTATTTATGTACTCATTGGTTGATTCTTTTATGTGCCCTAAAGATGGATGAACCCATAACCTGGACTAACCAGAAAACACTCTAAGAAACTGGGCCAGGGCTAACATAATCTTTTGTAATAATAAAAGGGTAATATGCTAATTAGACAGGTCATCTTCCAGACATCCTTCCTGATGAAAGCTGGGGCTAGAGGGAAGCCAACCCGGGTCCCGGGTGCCTGCCCGTGGTCAGAGGAGAGAAGCCCAGATCCCAGGTGCCAGATGGAAGCCAATGCTGGCAGCCAGGGGAAAGAAAGCCTACTCTTACACAAATTGTCATACATTGGTTTTAAGTAAAGGGAGAAAGTAAGATAGTGGGTATAAAATTTGTATAAACTTCATATATACAAATAAAACCTTGCAGTACAGTTAAATGCTTAAGAGTAATCAGCAATAAACAAAAAAATAAATTTAATACACAACTGAAAGGCACAGAAAAAACCTCAACGAAAGAAATTATACTATACTAGTGGTCCAGTGCATGAAATTCATGCACATTAAAAGGGGATTAGAGGAAATATTTTAATATTGCTATTTGCCCTTTCTCTATAATAAAAGTGTCAAAGATGAAAGAAAATTAGTAAAATATATATGAAAAAATTCCTCCTGTCAAAGTCTGGGGTGCACCATAGGACCAGAGTCAAGTCCCTACCCACCCATATGCACCTCAAGATTGCATGAGACCTAGACCCGGCCAGCCCCACCCCCCATTGGGCTAGATCCACCCTTGTCAAGCCCTGCTTGGTGGGGGGGTGCAGTCTCAGGTCCCCTGGACTAGTGCCAGGGCGGAGGCATGGCTTGAGGTCCCCCAGCCTGGGCCAGGTCAGGAGTCATCCCTTGAGGTCCCCCGTCAAGCCCCACCAGGCAGGGGGCACACCTTGAGATCCTGTCAAGTCCTGCCAGGTGTGGGCTGCATTCTCAGGTCTCCCATCAGGTCCCACTTGGAGGGGGCAGCAGCCTCAGGTTCCCCATCAAGCCCGCTGGGCAGGGGTTGCGGCCTGAGGTTCCCTGTCAAGCCCCACAGGGGTGGGGGAAGGCCCAGCCTCAGGTCCTGACTGATTGCTCATTAAGGCTCATTATGGGAACTCAGCCTGGCCTGTGAGATTGAGCCAAATCTGGCTCTCCAACATCCCCTAAGGGTCCCAGATTGCAAGAGGGCACAGGCCAGGCCAAGGGACCCACCCCACTGGTGCATGATCAGAGCCAGGGAGGGATGCAGATTGGCCAGCCAAGAAGGGACCTCGGGAGGGCTCCAGGGCATGTCTGGCCCATCTTACTCAGTCCCGATCAGCTGGACCCCAGCAGCAAGCTAACTTACCAATTGGAGTGTCTGCCCTTGGTGGTCAGTGCACATCATAGCAAGCAGTTGGGTGGCCTTAACATATCATTAGCATATTACACTTAGATTGAATAGATGACCAGACAACTGGACACTTAGCATATTAGGCTTTTATTATATACTAGAGGCCCAGTGCATGAAATTCATGCACGGGGTGTGTGCTCCTCAGCCCAATCTGCACCCTCTCCAATCTGGGACCCCTTGGGGAATATTCGACTGCCAGGCCTAAACAGGCAGTCAGACATCCCTCTCACAATCCTGGACTGTTGGCTCCCAACTGCTACCTGCCTGCCTGATTGCCCCTAATCGCTTCTACCTGCCAGCATGATCACCCCCTAACCACTCCACTGCCAGCCTGATCGACGCCTAACTGGTCTCCTAGTGGCCTGATTGTCCCCAATTGCCCTCCCTGACAGCTTGGTCACCCCCAAATGCCCTCCCCTGCATATTCCCTCTTTATTAGATAGGGTATTTTCTTTAACATATTGGACAGCCCTAACTGGTTTGGCTCAGTGGATGAGCAATAGCCTGCAGACTCAAGGATCCCAGGTTCAATTTCAGTCAAGGCCATGTACCAGTCACCTACCCAGTGGGGACTGTGCAGAGGCAGCTGATAGATATTTCTCTCTCATAGATGTTTCTAGCTCTCTATCCTTTTCCCTTCCTCTCTGTAAAACATCAATAAAATATATATAAAAAAAAAATTTAAGATTCCTCCATATCTGCCTGACTGGTGTGACTCAGTGGCTGAGAACCCAGGCTGGGCCTGGAGAGGATCACTGCATGGGTCCAGGCACCGCTGCCAGCCTGAGACCCCAGGCTGGGGATGCAGACCCAAACTGCTGCTTGATGCTGGAGCATTCCCAAGTGGCTGCAGGCAGGGCCATAGTGACGAGGGGACCTTCCTGCCCCACCCCAGCAGCTTGGCACCTGCACTCATAGGCTCTGAGAGGCCAGGGGGCATTCTGGGATCCTTGCTGCTCAAGGCCTATGGGCCTACAGGCTAGGAGCAACCTGAGTCCAGATAGAAGTTCCAAGGACCTAGGCCAATCAGCGCCTGCATATGCAAATTAACTGCCATCTTTGTTAGGTTAATTTGCATACTCACACTGATTGGCTGTGGGCATAGTGAAATGATCAATTAGCATTTATCTCTTTTATTAGTGTAGATGATAGGTAAGGTACAGTAAAAACAGAGCTTAGCCTTAGCCAGTGTGGCTCAGTGGGTTGAGTACCATCCCATGCACTAAAATGTTGCCAGTTTGATTCCTGGTCAGGGCACATACTCAGTTGGGGTGCATACAGGAGGCAACCAATCAATATTTCTCTCTCACAATGATTGGTGTTTCTCTTTCTCTCCCTCTACCTTCTTTAACTAAATTCAATAAAAATACTTAA